TGCGTTCACTACATTCGCTAACAACAGCCTTCATCTCACGCTACCGACATCAGCAAATTGGGACAATTATCGCGGCGACCCATTCTGCGATTTCTGGGACCGTCTGGGCTACATTTTTTGATATAGTTTATCAGAAGACAACATCTTAGATAGTGAATGACATCGGACAGAATAATTTCCTTGTATTCTTTTTCTTTTTCTTTTTACTTCTACCATTATAATCTTTAGTGCATCAGATCTTAGGAATTCAACTAGAATGATCACATGTACGGTTCTAAAAAAGATTAGATTCATGCTTATCTTTCAAGAGACGAACGAATTTATAAATGTTTGAATAAAAAGGTAAGACAGTCAACATTTGATTTTACAGCCTAGTCGGAAGGCGATTAGGAAAGGACCGATTTCGAAATCGATTTAAGTAGAATCAATTAATCAGCGGATGAGTCTAGAAACAATTAGTAGAAGTAACCTACACAAATGGTAGCTTGTGATATTATTCAATCATCAGTTATTATATTATTCAAGGGCCTTGAATGGCATCCAAAAATGTATCATGTTAAGTTTGAATCAGACGTATTCAATGAAGCACTGAATCTTCGACCAGTCTTAAAACAAGTATGAACTCCTTTTGTCTTTCAAGTCAAATGAATTCATTTTTGACAGAAATACGAATAAATATCGCTTTAAGAAATTAATACATAAGACTGCGACTTGATCGGTAATTCAGTACGATAAATCCAATGTGAAAAGCAACATTGTCAATATTTGATGTCAGTATATCTGTAAGTTTCATCAAGTAAGAATGAGACTTCATCTTTATTTGTCTTCAATTATCTTTCCGTTCTTTCGTTTCTTTTTGTTTGGTAATAGTGATGTAGCCAAGACTTGACTGATAGGAAAGAGTTCTTTTTCTTGTAACTCATATCTGGTAGTAGAGTCCTGCACGGGGTCGTTTTCGGAGTCGTCATCGGAGTCAATTAAATTTTTGCCAAAAATTTAATTTTAGCATAAAAACTTTTTTGTTTCGCAGGTTTTGTTCTCTGATATTTAATGTATAAACTGACGAATTTTGGAGATTTCAACGGCATCTTATCAAGGTCTATGAACATGAAAGAAAGTCGGAGTCGAAAAAAATCGGAGTCAAATCTGACTCCGACTTTCTTTCATGTTCGTAGACCTTGATAAGATGCCGTTGAAATCTCCAAAATTCGTCAGTTTATACATTAAATATCAGAGAACAAAACCTGCAAATCAAAAAAGTTCTTATGCTAAAACTAAATTTTTGGCAAAAAATTTAATTGACTCTGATGACGACTCCGAAAACGACTCCGTGCAGCACTCTATCTGGTAGTCAAGATTTTATGACAGAACTCGACAATACTACTAGTTGAAGCGTTTTTCAAGTTGGATGATCATAATTCTATCTATACACATATAAACTTTATAGTCAACAACATGGAAAAATTAATTCATGTGAATCTATCAAAATGACGGAAAGTTGATCTCAAATGGTTAATCCTAAGATTTATCTAAAAAATGTTACTTTATATTTGATGATTTTGATATAAGATCGTTTTAACATAAAAAACGAGGAAAACTATAGTTTCAGCATATTAAATTGCTATTTAGCTTGTTTTCTTTCATTTTAGAAAATTGAGACATCGAAACATATTTCGCAGTATGTTTCATTCGACTTTTGACTCACAGTCAAATAAAGAGCGTTTTTTTTTAAATGTACAAATTCTGAAAAAAAAATGTCAGGTTTAGACCAATGAATGGCAACAAGTAATGCTTGTTGCTTCGACTCGCTTGACCCTCGATTGAATGATCAAATGTTTGTATATTCTATGTGATCTTAGAAATAATCGGTAACAGTATCTAATGTATATCGGTGTACTTCCTATTTCTACTTGGATACTCGTCCATAAGACCATGACCTATCTAGAACTATAATAGTGATTAGAAACGAAACCACAGTTTTTATCAGTTACTTTACAAGACAAATATCTTGTTTTTATAGATAGATACATATAATCGTATATTTGAATTATTGTAGTTTTAAAATCTTTTTTTTCCTTTTTTGAAAAATAATTAGAAGCACCAATTTTCAACTGAAAGGTATGAAAATAGTTAAATTAGGAGCATTCTAATCTTGTTTAACTCATAAATTTCTTCAGCAATAGAAATGGTCTTCTATGAGACAATAATAATATGATGGAATAAGTTACTTTCTATCGCAAGTATGTGTTTATATTCATGCTTGCCTCTATTGTATACAGCTTGAGTAGCGTATTTGTATACTAAGGTGTTAAACAAAAGCGTTGGCGATAGTTATCATAATTGTACTTTTCATAACTGTCATTTTCATCGAATTTATGGATCAATGCACTTCTGTTGCACATACAGTAATTGAATATCAACTGCGTATTTGTACAATAGCTAAGAATAGTTAAGCTGCTGGAAATGTAAAATTAAACCAGAACTTTTTTTCTTTTTGTTATATATGGTTAGATAGAACTTGACGAGCTAATCAAGAATATGTGTGCTTTCATTTTTTTTCGATGATCTACTTTTTTTTGTAGACAACATCAATTTTGAATAACCGACACATTTTTAATTTGTTTTAGTTGGTTCAAATTTCAAAACTGTTTATTTTAGACTCAGCATCGAAAGCTGGATCTAGGAAAGCTATTCATGAATAGTTTTCCTAGATTCAGCTTTTGATGCTAAGTCTAAAATAAACAGTTTTGAAATTTGAACTAAGTACAACAAATTGAAATGTTGTCGATTATTCAGAATTGATGTTGTCTACAAAAAAAAGTAGATCATCGAAAAAAATGAAAGCACATATATTCTTGATGAGCTTGTCAAGTTCTATCTAACCATATATAACGAAAAGAAAACAAATCGGTTATTTATTATTTTCTTCTTTTCAGAGTAAATATTCCATCACGAACTCTGGTCTTTCTTTGTCTAATACCAGTTATCATCATGGTTGTAACAAATATTATAATCTTGCATAATAATCGTCAATTTCATCATTGTTTTACTGATGATACAACAATGAATACTTCAATGAGAAGTAGTGTAGGTGTATCAATAAAAAATACTTATGAATTCATTTGTCATCGAACATCAGCAGTTAATCGAATGCCATTCTATATGATGATAGCTAACGTTATTACATTTATGATAACAGAAATTCTATTTCATTTTTATGGAGTAATACAAATTTATATTCAAGTACTAGATAGACATATTCATTTATTGATATATGGCATGTTATTTTTTATGAGTGAATATTTATTTTGATATTGCATTGTATTTATATTGTTTTGTGCATAACTATTATTTCATAAAAAATCTATTGAAATAACAAAAGAAATTTTACATTATAAAATGATACATAAACGAAGAAAATAAATATAAAAGATTTTAATAGCTTTGACTGAAATATAGTAAATAGTTTCATATATGCAACATCTTCTACGAATTAAATTAACAAAAAAGTTAACTTCATGTGGTCGATATTCTCTTTTGTGTTGTTTCATTTCTATCCTTATTGTGATCAACAAATAATGAAGAACTAATAATCGTCGATGAAAGACCTATGGTTGTGATTCAATTTAATGATCAGTACAAGAAGTTATATTCAGATCCGAAAAAAATGATTAAATTGATATTTCTTCACTTATTTATTTACTACATGTGGTGAATCATTTCGAATATTTCTTTGTCTAATTAATAGCTGAAGTTCAAAAACAATGAACACATCTCCTCTGAATACAGACATAGAGTGTCTTAGATAAAAGTAGAAAGAATACTGAACATCATCCATAGAATATATAGATATTGCGTTTATGATCGAAATAAAAGAAAAATGTGAGTTGCACATAATTTAACTTTATACAATAATCAATGTGAAAACTAAACAAATGTGGAGAAAAGTTATCAGCACAAATCTAAATCGGATCGGCTTTACACTTCTGTTGACGATAGATGCAGCTATCATGACATTCATTTGCTTTTACTTTTTTTTTACTTTAATCATTCTGTTAAGTAAATTTAGTCATTCGTATACTTTCCGCTTATATTGCTTGTCTCACCAAAAAAACAATTCGTCATTATAAGTTTAATTGTTTGGCTATGGTGAGGTTAAAAAAATATCATTTGAAATAATTGCGATGTATGAACGAAAAAAAACAAACTGTCTCAATGGAACATAGAGATTATTTTGAAAATCATACCCTCTATTCGCATCGACAGGATTCTAAATAAACAAAATTTTATTGCTCTTAAATAAAAACATGCGTAATTTTAATATAAATAATAAAATACATTTGATATATGAAATATGAAATATTATATATTCTATATTCATAGATTTACTATATCAAACAGTATGAAAGCAAAGCATTAATCTTATGTATTTTTGTTAAGTTACTAAAAAACATAGTAAATAATTGTCAATAAGAATCTAGACAAAAAAAAATATTTACTAAAATATTGAAATTGTTATACACTTAAATAAATTTCCTTATTGCTGTCTTTATCGATATACACATATATATTTCTGCAACATTTCACATGTCAAAACAACACATCGTAGTAGTGTAGTTGTAAGATTAATAACTAAGTGAATCAACACTAGAAAAGTGTTGCTTTACACCTTCATTCCGGAAAAAAATCAAACTTTTTTTTTTATTTATATGCGATTAGAATCAATTCTGTTTGTCAAGAATTTATATTATGTTCGTTTCGATATTTACTTAATAATACACTTTTCTTTCATGTTCTCCAAAAAACCATACTTATAAAAAGAAAAAGAGAATAAAAAAAAAAGATAAATATTTGCCTACCAACTTGATTAGTTAGTCATCCATGGAAAAAGAGAACGAGAGAAAAAAAAAAGAAGAAGGAAAAATGACGAGAAATGTACTGTTTTTTTCAAATAAAGTATTCATTTTATAACAAGAAGAATTTTATATCTGCTTATCACAATGAATAATCATGTATTTGAAACCATCATTTTTGTATTTGTGACTTTTGTACAAGCTTATAGCCAATCAACTGTTGAAACTACACCATTCGATAACGCTATGACCATATCGGCATCGGACTCTAGTATTTCATCGATCATCACAACTACAGAATTGACTTTATCTTCTGTCTCATATTCATATTCTACTGTAACAACTCCATCTTCATCATCATATTCAATGTCTGTAGTAACAAACACATCAAGCTCGACAGACATTAATATAACAGACAATTCGACTTTTATTTCATCGACAATAACGATTTCTTCGATAGGCATAACTTTAGTGAATACAAATACATCGGAAGAAAATTTTTCTTCATCGTTTACATCATCAAATAATTCTTATATAACATATGAGCCAACTACTTCTTCAATAAGTAATATATTAACAATTTGATAATCAATATTTTTTTTCTTTTTTTCTTTTTCTAGATACAATAATGATTAATTTAACTTACAAATACATTGTTGAAAGTTCATCTTCTTTAAAGATAGGAAGTTTTAATGATTCTATAATTTTAGCAAGTGTGAAAAAAATGGTATGTACATATTGATTTTCAAAAAAATAAGATTACACTCAATCTATATATGTAGGTTGTCTCTTCATTCAATCAAACATACTTTAATATTATAGTCACACGTATTGAAATTAGATCTATACTAAAGTATTTTTATAATGTTAAATTTTAAAATAAAGATCTTTTTTTTTTGTTTTCAATAGGATTGATAATACCAAATATGATATGATCACGGATATTTCATTCTATTGTACTCGTATTGATTGTAATGCAACTCACATCAACCAATCTGTCTTATCATCTATACCAACACAAAACTTTACATTATTCAATGTAAATGATTCTCTAGTAGATGTAACTGCTCAATCAAGTCCAACATTTGTCGATAGTATGTTTATTTCAATTGATTATAAATTCCTTTATTGTTTATTATATTAGATACGGAAAATGTTACAACAACACCACTATCAGTCATAAATTATTCAAAAGGTAATAAAAAAAAAATACTATGAAATATATTACACACTTATTTTCGTAGGTGAATCACCGCCCGGTGTTGCAGCACAATTAGGTATGGGCGTTGGTATAACAATAATTGGCATTTTACTTATTGGTGAAATAATATATTTCTATCGAAAATATGGATTGAATGGATCAATGCATCATTCAAATTATGCACTACCTCCCTTTCATCGTCAACTATCAATCTAAATATATAATGATTTATATTGCGATAATTTTGTTGTGACTAATTTTTTTTTTTTTCTCTCATTCAATACATAAAAAAAAAAGATTAATGACTGTTTAAATATTTAGTTTTTCATTTGTTATCTATATAATTGTAGTAGTTTGAATTCATTTGAACAAATGTCTAATTTAACATCTCGTGGTCTTACAAAACAAGAAATAGCTATACCAGCTATTCTCGGAACAATTGTTTATCTAGGTGGTCTTATAGGCAATTTTTTATCATTAACAATTTTTATTCGTATTGAAATACGTCGTGTTTCAACTGGATTACTTTTTTTAATATTAACTATATCAAATAATATTCAATTGCTAACATTAATTGTTGAGTTTATTGATATTGCTTATAATGGTAGGCATTATACAGTGTATTTAAAAAAAAAGCAATTATAGATATTCAAGCAATAGAAATTTTCATTTCGATATATATTATGAAAGACTTATATTAAAATAGACGAACTAACTAAGCTTATTAATCTATTAGGATCAACAAAGTTTTTATGATTAATCAGGACACTGCATAAGATAGAGTCCGGTGAAGTATGAAAAATGTCAAAAAGGATAAGTGCCCTTAGGGTTCCTGTTCAGAGTTACAGATATTTTAATCTCGGACATGGTAAATACCGACAAATCGAATAATGGTATTTCGACCATAGGCGAAACTATTTGTTAGTAGAATGTTCTGAATACTTCCTTCCCGACATATTGAAATTCCAAAAATCGCTTCAATTCCACGAAAGATGTTAGAATTTTCTGTTCTTTTTTTTTTTAACTTTAATATCTTGTTAAGGAAATGTTCTTGCGAGTTGAAATTTTTCAGAATATTCTACTTATAAATAGTTTCGCCTGTGGTCTAAATGTCGGTATTGACCATGTCCGAAGCTAAAATACCTATAACTCTAAACAGAATGTCCGAATACACTTATTCTTTTGAGGTTTTTCATGTTCCACTAGAGTCTACCTTATGCACAGTGTCCAAACTTAAAAGCGATTGATTAGTTGAAAACCTTCCCTCATGAATATTTTATTGATATCTCTCCGAGACCTTATAGATACGAAGATAAATCGAACTTAAGAACCCTTCTCTAAAAAAAAATCACTTTTCGTCAGAATGGTCGAAATTTAGATAAATGTGTAGGAAGATAGCTCGTGATTTGATCTTTCATAAACGACACAAATTTTTACTCGATACCTTGTTTTTAGAAAAAATGGAAAATCTTTTTGATTGTTTCTCCGTTTATAGTTTCTTGAGCGTACAATTCAAATTTTTCTGTCGATATTCATTTAATTTATTTTTTATTTGAAGAAGCGCGTCAAGACACAGTACAGTACAGAGTGCTTTTTTTTTAAAATTATATATACAGACACTTATATAACTCGACACTTATTTTTTAAGAGTTTTTTGAGTCATTGAACTCTCGATTCCTTAAAAAATAAGTATTTACAAAAAAAAAATTAAATCTCTAGAATGAACAAATTTAGTTTGCTAAATTCACTATTTTTGACTCTTGTTGGGTCAATATCTCTCTCAAATGTTATGATATCGGGCTGAAAATCTCATGCTATTTAAACATTCCTGGACCAGAAATTGATTTTCGAGGGGTGAGAGATTGTCAACCTTGAATTTGATATTTTTCATAGTCATGAATTATGAATCAGATGTTCATAAAGTGTTCAAAAATAGTAATGTATAGATTAAAACAATTGTTATTTTATTATTTTAGTTCGATTATTTCATTCTGTATTAATTCGATGTCGTATTATTTATTGGCTTCAGAATATTTTTCGTTCATTAAGTTCATTTATTGCTTGTACAATTAGTATTGATCGTATGATTCGTGCAGTTTATCCAGCACATGCTAAATATTTTTGTACATGTCGATTAGTTTATCGAATTGTTCTTATTTATACACTTTTTTTTACATTTTCTCTAATATTTTATTTATTTCCATATATGGGAGAAAATTCTCAAGGAATTTGTTCAACAAAATTAAATTCAATCTATCATAAATTTATGGCTAGAATATGGCCACCTATTCGTACTTTTCTTATTTGTATTCTTCCTGTTTCAATAATGATTATATCTAATATTCGATTATGGCGTCGAATACGAGCATCAAAACGTCGTGTAATACCTCATACATCAAATAATTATCATATAACAAATACAGAAACAATGCTTCTATTTATAGCAATATCTAATGTTTTAGTATTTATTATAACACAAGTTCCATTTCATATTTATACAAGTATTGTACATTATAAAGAATCAATTATTCATGTACGTACACCAATACTTCTTTGGAGTAGTCTTTATTTTGGTATTGGTTTTTATATTTATTGTTTAACATCACGTTATTTTCGTTCAAAATTTATTTTAACAATACTTGAATGTTTTGGAAAGAAACATACAATTAATACGCGACAAAATACAATATCACAACATATACCAATTTAAATATGATCATATCAAAGATAGTTGCCTCTTCGTATATATATTTAAAAGAATTCTTTTTTTTTGTTTTTGAATAAAACAGAAAAAAACAACGACACATATTTTGATTTTATTTATTTGCAAACATAAATCTATCACAATTAGTATAACATAGATAAGAATAAAAATAAATTATATTAATTAAATATTCAATGAACAGATGAATAGTGATGAAGTCAGGAGATGGCTAGAGAGGACTCAGCCACTTCTCCTTCCGCATAATGTGCATTTTTCATATGACAATCGGACATGTGACATTATTGCTCGGAAATGATTGGATATGACATAGAAAAGCTTTTTTTTTGCTCGACGAAAAATGCCTGAGGAGGACCATTATTCTCATTTTTTTTGGAGAAAATTGTTTTGTGTTATACAGCATTCGATACAATTCTGAATATACTATTTTTTTTTTGGATTCAATATTTTTCGGAAGTCAGAAAATCTACGGTCTAGTCTAGGAATGTTTGCACTAAGGAATTAGAGACAGTAGATAGCAAAATTTGAAGGTTGGATTGCTCATTTAACAAGGCTAGCCGTTCGAATGACACTATAAGATTTTTTACTATTGTATAAAGTTCGATTAAGTGATTCAGAAAATATACTTGATTTGTCTGTTGAATAGTTTAATTTATGTCAGATATCAATTTTTCTATTTCTTTGAGGATAGTAATAAAGTTATTTTATATTATTAGATAGAATATATTTCAATCTTGGCAAAATGCAATTTTCATTTTTAGCCAGATGTATACTGCGCCCCTTCTCTCTCTTGAAATGTAACGTCCCTATACTTTAAGAGAAGAATTTTACTTCATTTTTGGCTTTGAACGAGAGCTGAGCTTTCTCTTCAAGTTTTCTTTCCTGTCTCCGCACAACATCAATTCGAATACTTTAGTGACATCTATTTCTTTTTGGTCTTTACGATAAATAGATTAATATTAATATTCAAATAAAATATGAATTTTATTTTTAGAATTAACAAAAGAAAACTTCTATTACAATTCTTAATTTTCTTTTATGAATATCATTGCTATAGTTTTGTTGGCTACAATGGCCACTGTTATTATTCGTATAACTACACAATGAAAATTGACTGTAGTTAAATAAAATAAAAAAATGGCAACTCAAACTCAAGTTTTAAAACGTGCTGCCGTTCAACCAGCACGTCTTCATGATTATCTTTATGGTTCGTTTCATATCTTATTTTGATATTCATAAAATTTTCAATAAAAAAATAATATTTTTAGATCCTACATGTACATTATCAGATGCTCGTGATCATGCTCGAGAAACATTTGCAGCAAAAACAACTACAGAACAATTGGTTTGTAAAAAAAAAAAAAATCATCGTTAGAATTTATACAAACAGATTTCTTTTTAGCAAGCTGTACCTGTCTATGAACATCTATTCAGTGATTTACGTCAATATCCACGTTTTGCTTATCGAATTCAATCTCGAGATTCTGTTCCAGCACATATCAATCGACAATGGTTAGGACAAGCAAATGCTCATCGTGAACAAATTGCTCTATCTCGACTGTAAATATAATTGATTTAAATCATTATTTTTTTTTGTTTGTTATGGATTTAATTTTCTGTAGTTTTACGGGTAATGAAGCATTTGTTGTTCCACCACGAACATATGAACATGTTGATGTCGGAGGTCGTGAACGAGCAAAATTTTTTCGTAAACCACTTGTACCTTTTATGGAAAATATTCAACCACTTGTTGTACTTGATACTGGTCGATCGACAACAGGTGTTTTTGGAGAACCAACAATAAAATCTATTCCAGGACATTTGGTTGGTTCGACAAAAACAGTTATACCTTCAGGACAACCAACAACAAAAACACAAGCTATTCAAACTGATTATATGGAACGTGAAGCTCAAACAGATCCTTATACACCTGAATATGTTGTTAAACCAGGTGAACAACCTGAAGTATTAACATTAGCTACTCTTATGTATAGTATGTTTTTGAATAGGAATTATTTTCTAATGTTGATATTTTGTTGTTTTTAGAGAAAGGTCTTCCGGCTGGTCTTGCAGAAGTAGAAATGATTGAACGTAAATTTTATAAACTTTGAATATAAGAAAAGATTTTTTGTTGTTATATTCAGGTGCACGTGCTAAACGTCAATGGGAAGCAAGTTTACCACCACTTGATGATCCTCAACAATGGGATAAACGATTTAAAATGATGAGTGATATGGAAAGACATGAATGGCTTTTAAGAGAAAATGAAATTGAAAAGTAAAAAAAAAAAATCTCTTTTACTTTTATTTGTATATTAAATTCGTCATTGTTGTTTTTTTTGTAATAGATTACAAAATCTTCGTATAGAATTATTAGAAAAAATTTTGAAAGATAATGAAACTCGTCAATATGATACATCTATTGAACGTATTAATCGACAATGGAGTAAAAAACAAATTGAACGTGAAGATTTTGTTAAAACAAATCGACTTCATTATTTACGAGGTAAAATTTATGTCTTGCTTTACAAAAAAAAAACGAAATGAATTTATTCAATTTGTTTTATAAAGCTATTCGAGCTCTACTTCGAAAACGATCACAAATTGAAACAAAATATGTTAAAAATGATATTATTCGTGCTTATACAAAATATGAATCAACAGCTTATGGTCCATTAACACGAAATGGTTATTTTCCAGATAAACTTACCGATAAATATTTAGTTAAAAGTCGATTTTTGGATACATATACGGGTTTACTTGAACTTGAATCAACATTACCATCAAATGCATTAAAAATTCGACTTCCAGCACCGAAAAGAATTAGTTCAACTAAAGATGGACATCTTAAACGACAATTTCGACGCGAAAGAGATTTGAATAATATTTTTAAGGTTCGAGTTTTTTTTTTTGAGATGGAAACTCAACTAGACTAACTTTCTTAAAAAAATTCAGAAGTTTTAAATCAAGTCTCTTTAAAAACATAAGATTTTCAAAATATATAATTTAAAGTAGTTGTTGTATTTTCGAGTTTTCTCCTTGATAATAATAGCTAGAAGAAATCTGAAAACAGATTGAAATAGCTGAGGTGATTTGGTATCAAGATTGATGCATCTAAAAATTTCTTTAATGAGAGTCTCTATAAAATCAAGATCCCAAAAACCCGATTGTAAGCTTTTTGTAAACAATTCTATTCGATAGAGCATAATATGTCGTCTGCAATCTCTCCATGACCTTATATTATCGACCTAGATTCAAGTTATAAAAGATCCAAAAGCGTCAAATATAGCAAAATGACTTCGTTTTTTTCAAAAGCAGAGAAAAATGCTTATGAAGTCATTTTAAAATTGAACAAGGTCGTGGAGAACTCGAATATTTTTTTGCTCTATCGAATAGAATTGTATACAAAAAGCTTCCAATCGGGTTTTTGGAATCTTGGTTTTGTAGAGACCTTCACTCAAGAAATTTCTAGACGCATCATTCTGGATACCAAATCATCTCAGCTACTTCAATCTTTCTTTTTTTAGATTTCTTCTAGCTAATACTATTGAGAAGAAGACTCGAAAAAACAACTGCTTTAAAACTTTGTTCGCCATTATGTATGTTGAAAGTCTCATGTCTCAAAGAGACTTAGTTCAAAACTTCCGAATTGTTTTGTTGAGTTCTCTATATGGGCAAAATCATTTGTTAACGACGTGACACCGCAAAATTGAAACATGTATATCTCGAGAAGAGAAGCTTTTCTAGAGCTAATTTTTATATGTTGTATGTATGTTAAGTTACTGCAGATACTCTGAAAAAATGAGCTCTAGAGGCTTTGGTTGAGAGGAGTTATTTCTAAAAAACTAGCGTTAGCGACGTGACTCAAAAAAAGACATCGATTTTCACTTTTTATGGTTCAGCTTAAAAAAACTCCAAACAAAGGCAGCATTTAAGGAAAACTAAATAGCACATTCTGTAGACAATGCATGGGGCTTTAAGATTGCTATTGAAAGTTTTTTTGCAGTAGGCATAGATTTTTCAAAAAATACAATTTACTTTTCGTTAGCGACGTGACGAGTACGAATACACAAACGAAAAAATGCTCTCATATCTTAGTGAGAAGTTCGAAACCAATTCGAAAGGTACAAATCCTTCCTCAGAACTTTCAGATGATAATCAGACAAAAATTTTTGTTTTCGGACTTGATGGGGTCTCTGGAGAGCCAGTTTTTATGAGAGAAATGTTTTGTGTCCGATCTTGCTGAAAATTTTATCATAGATGTGGCTCGGGCCCTAGAGTCTATCCTGAAATTTTTAGAGTTTTATCTCTTATGGTTGGCGAGATATTCACTAATTACTGCTTAATTAATTAATTAATTAGTTAATTAATTATTAATTAGGCAGTATCTGGAAGCGCCAACATTTTTACATATGTCTATGCTAAAGATATTTATTCAGAAGAAACAGCGTTCTAAAAAATTAAAGTCAAATGAAAGAGGGGTATGTCCTATTCTGCCTGATTTGCCGATATGTACAAAGTTTCAGATCAGAATTTGAGACTATAAGTTTTCGGAAGACTTGAGACATCTAGAAAAGAATTCGATAGCTTAGACAAATCGAAATTCTTTTAGAGTTTTTATTAAAATACTGTGTAGTATCTATAAGCAGAAAATCATTGAAATGGGAAGCAGTTCTCTCGTATACACAATGAATATGTTACATCTAGGGATAGAGTTTTGTAACATCACGAAGCAAAAAATTTCAAGAATTTAACTTTTGTAATCAAAGGATTTAATACATTATCGTCTAATAATAGATCGAGAAATATTTGCAAGTACATTTCAAATGAAATCATTACTGTATTTGTCTCTTCCACTGATCTTACTGTTTTTTTCGGACAAGAATGATTTTAATGGAGGGGAAAGTGTTTTACAAATTTTAGGAAAGGAAATACTCTAATAATGTATTATAGGATATTGCTGATGAAAAAGAGAAAAAGGTTGAAGAACCGAAGCCACTTCGATTTTTGGTTAAAGTCGAAAAACCAGTACCAAGACCACCAACACCTGGTGTTGATATACCTAATCTGGTTGGTTTATATATATTTTTTTCTCTTAATTTTCGTTACAAAAAGAAACATATTTAATTAAATAGGAGGATGAAGAACGTGAGAAAAGTATTATTTATCTTCAAAAACTTCTTCGTGGTCGTGCTATACAAAATATGGTTAGTAATCTCTTTCTTTTCATTTTTTTTTTTGTAATATATCAATCAATTCTATTAGATGTACAAAAATAAAGAAGAACGTATTGAATTAATTGATGAAATGCGTAGTACACATGCATTACAAGAACAAGATATAAATAGAAAAAAACTTCAACGACAAGATGTTCAAGTTGCACAACATGTTCAAAGAAAAGATACTACACGAGTAAATTTTATTTTCGTTTTTTTTGCTATAAATTAAATTAAATTACAAAAATATTGATAGGAAGATTTGATTGATTCAATTCTTCAAACACTTGAAGGCGAAGCTGTTAGTGATATGTTTGATTATTTATCAAAAGAATTAATACGTCTTCAAGAAGAACGTCGTATTGCTGCATTTGCTATGTTAGCTGAACGTCAACGACGTTTACGTGAAGCTGAAGAATCAGGTTTAAGACAAGTCGAAGAACGACGACGACGTGAACAAGATGAACTTTTTAAACAAGTTTGTTTTATCTCATATTATATTTTTTGTTTTTGAAACAATCTTTTTTTTGAAAATTTTTTAGATGCTAAAAATGACACAAACTACAGTTGATACATATTTAGAAGATGTTATTCTTGCAAGTACTTTTGAAACAGCTACTGAACAAGCTCGTATTGAAATTCAACAACAAGCTACAGCAATCGATGATATTGCGCATGAAATGGAATCAAAGTAAATTTAATTAAAAATTAATTTATGTAAATTTTCATTTTTACTTAAAGACGAACTCAACTTGAATCGGAAGGTATTGTAGCTGAATTAGTTCATAGTTTTCTTATACCAGAAGTTGCTAAACAAGAAAGTCGTAATAAAGGTATGTTTAAATATAAATTCAAAATGAAGTATATAAAAATTATTTTTTAGTTCGTCTTGCTCAACATAAACATCTATTAGCTGCTCACCGAGTTATCAAAGAAAGTTGTGCTGAAAATCTCAATGATTCTATGGATGCTGATAGACAACAATCAAGAGAAACAGAACCAACCAATGAATATTATCGAACAACACAAGACGAAGGTGAAAACGAACAAGAAGAAGAAGAAAAAGAAGAACAAAATCGTGGAGGAGAAGAAGATGAAAATCGTGGAGACGAACAAGAAAATCGTGAATTTGAAGAAGAAAATCGTAGAGAAGAAGATGAAAATCGTGGAGAAGAAGATGAAAACCGTGAAGAAGAAGATGAAAACCGCGGAGAAGAAGATGAAAATCGTGGAGAAGAAAATGAAAATCGTGAAGAAGAAGATGAAAACCGCGGAGAAGAAGATGAAAGTCGTGGAGAGGAAAATGAAAATCGTGAAGAAGAAGATGAAAATCGAGAATCTGAACATGAAGATGAAGAACCTATTCATAGTGAAATCAATGATGAAGATCGAGAACAATAGACTTTTATTATTTTCCTATTCGACAAAACATTTTTTCATAATAACTTTTTATTTTGTATATGTTATCTAATGCCTTATTAAATCAAATTTCTAATGCTTAACACATTCGAGGCGATGTCGTCCACCGGTGGGCGACGCTATAGTTTAACGAGAAACTGTATAGAAAAGCACTTTCTTTTGCTTTTTGTGTACTCAAAAAGTGAGTACACTCTAGAATCGGTCAGTGTGTCCGGCCGTCCGTTTACACGATAACTTTTGAAAGGAGAGTCCGATCATGATGAAATTTTCTACACAGCTCAGTCTCAACAATATCTCGGTCGAGAGAAGAAGATGAGAATGATTGGCCGAGCCATTGCTGAGTTATTGCAAAAATAGTCATTTTTCCCTATGCGAAGATCGACCTATCTCCGCTTTCGTAAAAAACTTTTCCTGTCATAGTCAAATAAAACCCCAACTATTATATACCATTCGATAGAGAATTTCACGAGCTACAAAGTGGTATATAAAACATAAGGAAACAAGAAAGCCAACTCAGCTATTGCAAAGATAATTAAACGGAATTCGGTTCTGTTTTTGTCCACGCTCTATCTTTCGATCACAG